TAAGTCTCTGTGTCTGTATCTATGTATATTCTTTTCTTTATAATCTTTCTTCCTCTTCCTCTATCTTTATCTTTACTTTTATGGGTTTCCTCGTCCTCATCTTTTTTTTTATAATAATCTTTGTTTTTACCTTTATGTTTATTATTTTCTTCTTCTACCTAATTCGACACCTCACTTTTGAAAATCGAACAAACGGTGCAGATCTGACGGCATTCAAACTCATTCATATTCATATATAGACTGGCAAAGGAAAAATATTTCTCCTGCATAATAGTTATCAGGCAAGGTAAAAAAAATTGGGCAATAACTGTTATTAGGCAACGAAAAAATAAATATCGGGAAATAACTTTAGTCGGCAACAGAAAAAATAAACGTTGGTCAATAACTGTTATGGGGAAACGTAAAAAATAAACGTTGGCAATAACTATTATTGGCAACGTAAAATATTAACGTTGGGAAATAACTCTTATCGGCAACGGAAAAATATTTATCATCTAATTACTGTTATGAAACAACGTTTTCGTTAAATTTCAGAATTCCGGCAACGTTTTCAATTCGTAAATAGAAGATAACATTTATTTTTGGTCCCTGAATAAAATAACACAGGCCGACAGCATTTCTGACCCAGAAACCGGACTATATATTCTCGAAGGATTTTGATGCGATGAATTGCTCTATCAGCTCTGGTTTTCGAGATATCTTAACCTAAAAGTGCAAAAAACACTGTTTTTGCCCATATTTGAGGTTATGTAGCCTTGCAGATGTTTTCTTTCACCAAAATAATAGGCTGGCTTCTTTAAGTACAAGTCTTCTTCTTTCAAATGGCGTTTTGTTTGCTCAAATATCATTTTTTTCGCTGAGATATCGCATTTTTAAATTTGCATGTCATTTAGAAACATGAAAATTTCAAAATGCGTTAAACCAGCGAAAAAAATTATATTTGAGCAAACAAAACGCCATTTGAAAGAAAAAGACTTGTACTTAAAGATGCCAGCCTATTATTTTGGTGAAAGAAAACTTCTGCAAGGCTACATAACCACAAATATGGACAAAACCGGTGTTTTTTGCACTTTTAGGTTAGGATATCTCGAAAACCAGAGCTGATAGAGCAATTCTGAGGCCAGATTTGGATTCAGCGCATCATAAACCATCGGAAATATATAGTCTGGTTTCTGGGTCTGAATGTTGGTTAAATTTTGTCGGCCTGTGTAATTAATTGCCACAAAAACTACGCAGATAACTTTTAAATAAACGCTCACCAAGGTAAAGAATTAAAATTTAAAAAATATGTACATATATAAATAGGATAAAAAAAAAATATATATATATATAAATTGGATGTTCACATTCCACTGCATTCCGTTGATATAACTCATTCATTCACAAGCAAATTGTTTCCAAAATTTGTTTGCCGTTCACCCTAATATTTTCGTATGTTAAACTCTTTTGTTGCATAGAGGGTTATTATGAATCCATTTCACGACGGTGAGCAGAGCAGCATGTATAGATATGGCCGATGCAGTCGTTTACATATGCTGCGCGGTCTCTGCATTTCATCGCTGCTTCAGTTGCAATTTCGCTCCCAAGAAATTGAATATTTCTATGCTGCTGTCAGCGAATATTTCCGACGGCGAAAAGCAGACACAAAGAGAACTGTCAAAATCAGCAGCAAAGCTGGGAGCATAAAATAATTGACAAAATAAGACAAGAACCAAGCGAAATCCAGGAAGAAGACACGACGCGAAAGCGAAAAGCAAGTTAAGAGTATTCGGTTCATATTTTATTTGTTTGATAAACAATTTATTCCTTTCGCCAATATTTATTCGCCAAAACAAAGTGCAGTGAAAAGCAGAGTAAAGAAAAACATAAAAATTTGGAGACAAATTAAGATAAAACGTAACTACATATGAATGTTCGCAGAAATTAATTGAATGGGAAAAGGGGAGGTGTTAACACGAAGACGACATCCAGATCCACGACGGGCAGTTGCTAACAAAAACTTGCACGTTTTCTTTAATGAGCAGAGAAGTCAACAAGATAATCTATCCAGACAAATATACAGATATAAAATCACACCGTTTCTTTGGAACAAATATCTGTTGAAATGTGCAAAAAAATTATAAATATAAAACAAGCCAATCAAAAAATTTGACAAACAAGAGCGACAGCAAGAGCAAGAAATGATGGAAGCAGCATGGTATGTTGACAGGACATTGGTCAATTGAAGTTTATGAAAATATATGTTGCCACCTGTTATTAATAAATCATTCATTCAGGGTGATTGGTGGTGGCAAGTTATTTTTGAAAGCAAGAATGATAGAATACAAAATTGCGCCGATCAGAGAGGATTTTTGAGAATAACTTGTGTGACGTCACACTAGTGCAATTGCGAGAGAGAAATGCCAAAACATGAGCAAGAATGGAAGAAGAATGTTGCAGGGAAAACGTAAACAAGTTGCACAAGTGTGACGTCATGCAAATTCATTAAGAGAGGAATAGCGGTCCGAGATCGGCGCAACATTTGTATTCTCTCAATCGTGTTTTGAAAGCTAATTTAATTTTTGATTGGATAATTGATAGAAGAGTTGGGAAAAATGCTTTAATTTTTTATTGCATTAATTTTATTGTAAAAAATTAGTGCATTAATTTTTGAAATGTAATGCAAATACAAATTGCAATTCATTAATTCTGAAAAATATAATGCTAGTGAACTTCTAGTGATAACTTCGTTTGTATTACTAAAATCCATGAATTTTTTTCTAGTGAAATGCAAAGAACCGCTTTTTAAGGACTTCGAATAATTACTTATAGTTTATTTAGCTTCATTCTATTATGTTTATTTGTTAACGTTAGTTGTGTATTCGTATTCTCCAGCAAAAAAATATCCAGTAAGTTGCCTTTACCAAATTTCGGAGAGTAAGCCAATATTTACTCCCAATGAGAGAAATATGCAAGAAAATACGAAAACGCAAAACCAGCAAGAAGTTGCAAGTTTTATGAACAGCTGATTAATTTGTTGTTTTTCGACGCTATTTTCTAAGAAAATAATATTTCCCATCTTATTATATAGTTAGTAGTCAATTACAACTCTGAAAGCACCGCAAAACCTCGTCGCGGTCTTGCGTGATCTCGTATTTTGGGTTAATGAGTTTTCATCGAAACTACTTCAGTGGCAACGCTAACAATATTATTCTACCAAGCATTGTTGCCAACTTATTGCACTAAGCACTAGATTTAGTGCTTTTTGGAAATAAAAAAAAAATGGTTTAGTGCCATGAACGAAAGACACAAGATCACGTAAGAACAAGAGAGTGAAAAAAGTCGACTTTTTTAGCGGGTTCTACGCCATCTTGTTTCACTGGAAAACTAGCGAAAAGTAAACAAAGCAAAGAAAACAACGAAAAACAAAATTAGCCAAAAATATTGTCAGCCACTTTAAGCGCACAATTTAGGTAAAATGATGCAATGAAATGCTTGAAAATGTGTTGTCATGTTGAATTAACTCTTCTTTACTTAAATAAAAGTGTAAAATAGTGGTGCTTGTGATGTAAACAAACGCTCAGCTGACGAACCCGCTTTCGCAAACTTTTTTCTCAAAACCAGTTACAAATACAACGTCGCGTTCTTACGTGATCTTGTATTTTTGGTTCATGGTTTAGTGTCTAGTGGCTTTTTTAGTGCGTTTTTTTGGACTCAAATTTCTCATGCAAATGAAATAATTTGAAATATTTAAAGCTGTGGCAGCACTGAACTTACAAGAATCAATAAATTTAAATGCACTAGAATGCAGCCATTATTTATAAAAAGCCCAAGTTGCAAACCTTCGTTCCCGTACACAGGTAATTTAAGTATTTCTGTTTTCTTTTCTAATTGTACATATTTTGATTGATTTACACAGTTCGCCAAATTTAAATTTTTTTACCTCCTGAGTAAAGCACATCGTGTCTTGTTAATTATTTGGTACTGATCCAAATCTGGCCACAGAATTACTCTAGCTCGTCAGAATTTTGAGGTGTCCATCATCAAAGTGCCAAAAACACGGTTTTGCTTATGTTTGAAGTTACATTGTGAAAACAACAAATTTTTTTTGCTAAATTCTACTTAAAATTTAGTATTACTTTTCCGCTTTAAAATTCTTTTTCCTTTGTTGCGATTCGATTTCCCTTCCTCGAGATATACAAGCTTAAATGTGCAGTACTTCGGTATTACCTCGTAAGCATGAGCCATCATAGCATGTTAAATACTATAAGCTGTTGTAAAAAAAAGTATCCTTTGATTTAAAAAAATTTTGTGCTTTTAGTGTGGTAAAACGCTTTGTTTTCCAAGTTTTGGTGCCTTTTGAAAACTGTTGGCAACACTGCTACCAAGTGAGAGCGAAGAAATGACAGAAAGCAGACAAATCAAGAAAATCGTGTCAAATGCAAACATTGCAAAACTTTTTTCACATTTTCATAAGGAAATATTTTGGTAAAAATATTATTTTAAAAGAAATTTAACGCTATAATATATACCAAAGTGAAAATATTAGTTTTTAATAAAAAGCCTTGTGTAATGGCCACTGCAAATACATAAGACCGAAGGGTGGTGGTGATGGTAAAAAAAGTCTGAAAGCGTAAATGCAAATGTTGAACGTCTTTATTTAAATTTTGAGATTTCTTTAATACTAATGCGATAATTTTTGCTAGGATTCAAGAATTCGTAGAAAGGGGCAAGTAAGCGGTATAATTGGAAAGGATTAAACTAGAAATTTGCATTGCCCACTAAGGAGCACAGGAGCGAGGATATGAGTGTATGTGTGTACATGAGGATAAAAATGGGAACGAAAAAAAAGAAATTATGCAAAGATATTTTGTAACATATCATACTTTTTCAGCTAATTTTCCTAATCCCTTCTTGTACATTAAAAACATTAGTCTATGCAAGGGAATTTAGTTATATGCTTAGCTGCTTTTTCCTGGTTAATACATATGTATCTCATAAGTTTTTCTTTTCATTTTCAGATTTCATTAACAAATTGATGAGCAAAACAAACCAAAAAACGCAAAAGAAAACGGTTAACAAATGCTAAAAAGAGAGAAGTAGTTATAGTATACAAATGGAATTGAATAAAACCAGACAATTTGTCAAAAAGTGATACAAGAACATCGTGGAAAACTTCGCGAACCACAAACTTTAAAATAGTTGGTGTACAAAAAATTTTTAGAAAACTACGTAAGAAGGCGTCTACGCTTAGACGGCAGTGGTATTTCACTCCCGACTAAAAAACATTTAAAAAAGGGTTACATTAAAAGACAACTACAACGGAAACGGCATACCTCTAATAATCTTAAAAAGAAAATTTAAAAAAAAAATACCAATAAGATATCAAGGATACACATGTTTCTTAAAAAGATTAAGTAAAGTAAAAGTTTAGTAAACCAAAAGAGGCGGAAAGTTAAAAAGTGCAAAAAAAGGCGATGTGACATAGTAATTGTGCTACCCACCCACCATAATTGTTAGCAGTAGTGAAATCAATTAATACTATATGAAACACTGAAGAAAAGGCTATTTATAGGAAGTTAATATTCATTAGGTTCGCCAGTATGCCAGCACCACTAACTGGAGTAGCAAAACTAATAACAACAACAAGCAAAGGATTATCTTCGTATGCCTGTGTTTCTTCTACTAGAACGTAAAGGCACATCAATTGTTATTGAATTCAATAAATTGGCTTACGCACTCCCCGAATAGGTGGATTCCTACTGCATTTCTGCGACTGTAAGCCATTTATTTGCTGTAGAATTCTAATAAATAATACCGTAAAATTGAAAAAAATATATAAAAAAAAAAAGTCGCAAATACAACGGCATTCCAACTAATTAAAATTATACCCTCTGCAAGAGTACTAAAGCGTATATCTTAAGTAATAAAAGTAGGCCACACAGAAGCTTTTTTTGCTTATATAAAGGCAGAGCTTTAAAGGTGCTCTAAGCATTCTCAGAGCTGGATTTGTGTTTTGGGTTCCAGAAATTTTTTGGCGCTTTTATTTGATGCACATCTCAAAGAGGGAATTGAATCAAATTTGAATGTCGTCGGTGATTAAGTTTTATCGAAGTAGGAAGGATTCACTGGCACCATGCAAAGCTTGGATTCATCATGTCAAGAAGCTGATGTAAGTACAAAAGAAAATTTTACAAAATTTAATTGAAATTTAATGTATTTTTCTGAATTATTTCATTAACTCTGCGCTTCCTTCTTGATTGCTTTCCACCGCAATGCAGTTCATAATAAATGACACGCTTAAAAAGCTAAAAGGCTCTAGCACTAGCATTAATAGCAACAGCAATTCGACGTTACCGGCGTTGAACTCGAGCGGCAGTGGCAGTAGCATATTGAGGCAACAACATCCGCATCAACAATTAATTTATCAACAGCATCAATCTATTCCACAACAATCGAAGCAACCGCCATACTCACACTATCAGCATCTACAAACTGCGCTGCAGTGTCCCGCGCCGCCACAACAACCACAACTATTGACATCTCCACCGCCACCAGCACCACTGAGCAGCGTAACGTTCTCCAGTAAAAGTTCACTGCTTGACTCAAGTCTGCTACATTGTAATATCACACAGATTCCTAGCCAACCTCCTTATTGCATTTTCGATGATGGAACTGAATCACCAAGTGAAGTACCGCCAGTTGAAATACTCGCAACAAGTAATAGCAGTAGTGTTGGCGGCGGTTGCGGTAGCAGCAATATCGGTAGTAGCACAAGTGGCTTGGATGGAATTGTGCTACTCGCTGAACCTTCAACGAACGCGTCAGCGCATGGTACAGCTACATCTACGGTGCCATCACCATCGTCCTGTTCATCATCGACAAATCTTTCCAACTTTAATTCAATCACTTCCCCCTCGCCGGTAGTGCCCGATTTGTTGTTATCAACACCGCCAGGCTTAAATTCTACAACATCACTCGGCGAATCAAATGTAGCTAACATCGGAGTTTATGGTAGCTTGGGAACAAGTGCATTTCTAACATCTTTAACGCAGTCGTCACAATTCTCCACAGCAGCGCATCAAAGCAACAATAATAATATTACAATAACCAGTAATAACAATAACAAAAAGGCTGATAAACGTCCTTCCGCGTCCTTAAGTACACAACAACAACACCACAGCAATCATTCACATCATCATTACCAGCACCACTACCAACAATCATCAACAACAACGCATCTTCATCCACCTCAGCATTTGTTAAGTACATCATCGCCCTTGGCTGGTGCGCTGTCATCGTCTGCATCGCCTACCTCCTCGCCTAGCAAACGGCAAAAAATTTCAAAAGAATCAACAAGCCGATCATCACCATCAACATCGTCCGCGCGTAATTCTGGTAGCAAGCGCGACAGTAGCTCGTCGGCGGCATGTGCATCTGGTAGCACAACATCATCTAGTTCAGGTGGCGCATCATCATCGCCGTCATCTAAGTTCTTTAACATTCACGACAAAATACGCGAAAACTATCTACAATTGTTGGCTAATGATTTAAACTCATTCACGGAAACTGGGGTAAGCAAATGTACTATGATTGACTAATAATTATCCTAGAAGTTCAACGCATACTTTGTTAGGTTAGATTTAGCGCATATTTTTTAGTGCGCTCTATTTCAAACTGGAAACATTGTGTTTGCTTTTTGGAATTCACAAGATTTAAAAAACCAGTGCTGAAACAAATTTGGGGTCACTGAAACTCAAAAAGTCCTTATGTACACAATTATTAAAGGGAAGTTATTAATACAATATGTATTGTAACTCCAAACCTAACCCTTTTTCAAGAGTTCCTATCTTATACAAGCTCTAATTATCGACTTTTGCCCAAAAGATTCAAGTTTGTGGTGAGTCCGCCCGGGCTCGAGCTTTTTAAGGGACCTGAAATATCAGAACCATAACTTGTTAATATTTTTTTTTACAATAAAGGCTTTTATTAGAAATATATTCCGATTCGTGCTGATTCCCTCTGACCCTATACGCACATGTTTTTAAATTAATGTAATTTATGTATAAGGGCTCGTGATTTTTCATGGGGCTGGATTTTCTCTCGACGGCGCTGAGTCGTAGTTAACGATACTGAAAGGATGTAAGAATTTGCAATAGCCGAACAATGGCAATATGTTTTATATTTCCACGCCATTTCATAAAATCGTTCAAACTACTGCTTTTGTAACGTATTTACTGATCAAATTAAGCTTGATATCTTTTAAATAATAATAATAGATTGGCGTTTACACATATGTTAGTGTTTGGCCGAGCTTTTCATCCAATTTGTGGCGTGCGTCTTTTTATGAGAAGCTGTTTTTCATGGCAAAAATGCACTCGAAGGTTTGCCATTACTTGCCGAGGGCCGACCGCTGTCAAGAAGAACCCTTTTTTCTATTTTTTTTTTTTTGCGATGTTGCTTGACCAGGCCTGCTCACCACTACATTACAGCGGCCTTATCTAGCATGCTAAAAATATGTCATTAACGTCTCCGGTACAAAAAGTTAATCCAGAAAATAACTACCATTGATGGCAATAATAAACAACTTTTTTTCCCAACTTAAAAAGTGTCGGGCAAACTCACCAATTCTCAATTAAAAAAGTCCACACCAGCTATGCAATGCCAAAAAAAAAGATTATACTCTTGCATAAAACTATAATTACTATGTGCCTAATCTATTTGCAGCTCAAACAGCGTTCGCGTGCTTTTGTTCTGGAGCGTTTGGTAGAAAGTGAAAAACTGAATACAATTGTTGTAAACCTATACCCGGGCAATAAAGGATACTCATTAGCGTTACACTATGACGATCGGCAATTGTTAACGCCTAATGGCGAATTTGTGCATGCAGGTGATGGGTCGGGTACTGGTGGCGCGGAGAGCATACAAGCAGGTACGAGTGGCACTTCTTCCGCAACCACCTATAGAGGTGCTTCTAGTCGTAGCATTGGCAGTGGTAGTGGTAGTAGTAGCAGCAGCAGTAAACTAAGTTTCGCCGCTATACCGCCTGATTTAAAAGGCGCCGGTAATGACTATGAAAATGCCTCCGACTTGAAGCTCAAAGTTGCAGGCGGCAGAGCCGATGAACATGGCTTACAACAACATCAACAACATGAGTACCCACTGATCGAAGTACTGCGTTGGCCCTACGAAAATGATCAATTGCTACAGTGCATTGATCGTGAGGTAATACCGGACTTTCTTGTTGACATGTTGAATGCGCCCAGCCTCACATTGAACGCTTCGCACGATGACAGCGAAGCTGCACGTACCTACGTTAAGCCGAATGTCTTCTACGCTGGCTGTGTAATTGCGCAAATACGCGATTTTCGACAAACATTCGCTATTTCGACGAATATCTGTGATACGAAACACGTCCTTCTGCGGCCCACAAATGCCACCATATTTGCTGATGTGCAGCACTTGGCCAGCACAACGAATCTGAACATTAATCCAACGACATCGGCATCAGCTGCGGCAGCAGCGATTTGTGGTGCAGAGGATAAATTACAACTGGAAAGTCAGTTAGTGCTAGCCACTGCGGAACCGTTGTGTTTGGATCCCGATCCTAATATCGGTCGTTTTGCCATCAATGCACAGAATGCGCGACAACTGTTCAATACGCATGAGTTGCGACGTCAAATGAAAAAGTACACGCAAATTTCAATAAATCGAAAACGAAAATTGGATCAGTTTACTCATCATTACGGACTTGAGTTATGTGACTACTTGACACGACTGCGCGCACGGCCACGTACAAGTAGCCTGGTGAACGCTAATGCCGCCGCGGCCACAGCGCCTAGCAGCAATCCCCTGGTGAGTGCAATGCTCACTTCGTTCTCGTCGAAAGTACCACGTCGACCGCGTGACGTCATACGACCGATACGTCCGCCACGGCTGGAATATCCATCGAATCTGAAAGTACCCGAGCAGCTTATAAGTGTGGAAAAGTATGCTAAGACGTATGAGCGGCCACGTGAAACCACAGACTGCCAGCCGCAATTGATCGAAGAGTACGTGTTGGAAACTGAACGTGAAGAAAATGCTGGGCGACGTGTGATCTATCACATAAAACTTTCCATTTTTCAACGACCCTCGAATTCTGAGTACCTGGGTGAGCTATATGTCGATCGCGATTACCGTGAGGGTGAACGCAATGGTGAGTCTTGTCGCTTTTCGTTGGGCACACGCATACATGCGAATCGATACATACAGCAATTCACCGAGATTTTCACCGAAGAGGGACGCAAAGCAGTTAAAATCACGCACTTGGTGCCGGGTCATTTGCCCAAGGTAACACACACAGGCATCACACCGGAACAGCGACAGGCCTTGCTGATGCAACAACGACAGGCGGCACTATTAGCAGCACAACAACAACAGCAGCAACAACAACAGCATGTGCAACATGCTACGACCTCGGCGGGTAATGCTCAGCATGTTACTGTTGCAGCAGTGGCTAGTGGAAGCACCACAGCCAGCCAACACCAACAACCGCCGCAACAGCAACACGTTGTGTTGGTCGGACCGAATGGCCAGCAACAGCACATATTGCCCGCCACCGTACAACACATAGGCACTGTTGGACATCAACAACAAGTTGCGCAAACTGTTTGCGCCGTTGGCGGGGGCGTGCAGCAGCAGCAACAACAACAACACATTGCCATAACGCCAACAGGCGGTAATTTGACGAAGAATATCAACATTGTCGGGTTAACTGCCAGTAATGCGGCTGCTGTACAACAAGTATTGCGCCAACAACAACTACAACAGCAGCAACAACAACACCAACAAATTACAACACAATTTATAGATGCGAACGGCACAACGATGCACATACAGTCGAGCGGCGGCAATGTCAGTAGCGGTAGTGCGGGCATTATTCATGCGCAACAGCAGCAGCAGCAACAACAACAGCAGCCAGCGCAACACATCCAACTACATTCGGTTGCAGGTGGCAATACTCATACGACAACGCAGCTAAGCCTTAGCAACGGATCATTGGTGTTGGTGCAACAACATCCACTTACGCAAGCGCAGCAACAACAACAGCAGCAACAAACGCAAACGCTGCAACATGCCGGTATTACTATACAGCCCGCCAACTTGCAGCAACAACAACAACAACAGCAGCAGCAAAAGACTCAGGTCATCACGGCGGCGCAATTGAACGCCGTTACTGGCACAAATTCAGCGTTGCGCACACAACTCAGTTCCAGCGTGCCAATATTGGTATGTATAATAAATTATAGTTAAAAAATCCCAACAAATATTAAAAGTTTTGCAAATATATTGACTCCAGTGTAGCCTGAATGGTCTGGTTTTAAAAAAAGTTTTTATTCTTGCTGATCACTGAAAATGAGCCAAATCATCAATTTTATCAATTATATTGTATTGTCCTTAAGCCGTCCACAAATTTTCAATTTAATCAATTGTCTGAAGTACTTGCAAATAACGATGAAAGATTGTTGACGAACAGTCAGACCATTTTTAAATTGTTTAATTTTCTCGTTTTTTTTCAGCAGGCGCAGCTCAAGGCCGCGCCATTACTTACTGCACAACAGCAGCAGCAGATCTTGCATAAAACCACACAACAGCAACACAGTACTGCCAGTAGCAACAATAGTAGCAATTCGACGACGACGACATTACACACAAATCCTGCGATAAATGCAATCTTCACCAATATCATGAATAGCGCCAATCAATTCCAACAACAGAAGCAACAGCAGCAACAACAACAACAACAGTTGCAGCAGAACTGTGAGTATAATTGTACAGGCAGTCTAATCCATTTTTATGCAAATGTTTCCCATCTTATTTATTTGTAGCCAACAATAATAGCGGTGGTGTCAGCAACCCTAATGTGAAAAATAGCAGTAACGCCTCCATACGCAGCTTATTGAATAGCGCACCTGCCGCTATGACAAGTACACCAGTGGCCAGCGGCACTTTTACCACTTCGACCGGCCAACATCAGACCGTCACACAGGTGCAACACACATCTTCAACGCCTCAGCAGCAACAACACCAGCAGCAGCAACAGCAAACAATTGTGAGCGGTGAAAACTTTGTCCAGGTGACAACACAGCCAGCCACTGTTTCGGCGGCGACAACAGTGCAGCAACGTAAGCAGACCAACAACGAAGTGCTGCAGAATCTCCTTAATCCTAATCGAAAATTTAATATCGTCACCAGCGGTGGCAATATTGTGACTGCCAGTGCAGGAGGCACAACCTTCCGTACTGCAGCGGGCAATTTGGTTGCTGTCAATCTGAACCAAGCAGCCCAACATCAAAACCAAGGCCAGGACGGCCAGCAGATGCAACAGCAAACGACTGGCACCCAGGCACATCAGACGGTGCGCGTGTCAATGTCGGCACTCGCCTCACAATTAGCTTCACCGCCAGCGATTATGACGAATCCAAATGCGCCCAACTTTGGTTACACAGTGAGTGCGCTGGGTGCTGGTGGCGGCGGCGCCACGGTGAATACTGTAAGCAGCGTGAGCGGTGCATCTGGGGGCAGCATAAAAATACTCAATAGTGGCGCGCAGCAACAACGAGTTGCGTTGGCAAATGCATTACGACGAGACTCTAGCAACACAGGTGCCCCACCGAATGCTATTGTTGTTGGCGTGGCCGCACCATCACCTGGTAGTGACTCGAATGCGTCAAATGCCAGTGGCTTTGCGGTGCCGCAGCCAACCAGTACCACAAATTCAGTTGGCACCGCAACCAGCTTGACACTGCTAGGTGCGGCAACGCCGTCGCCTTCCGGCTCCGATCATTCACAGTCGTCATCACAAACGCAGAATCAAGTACTGCTTGAGCGCCTTCACAACAGTAGTGGAACTGCTGCGACTGCGATGCCAAATATGTCTCCCCAACAACAACAACAAGCGCACGTGCACACACAATACCTAGCGAAAACGTTGGTGCAATCGCCAGCTGCTGCCACATCCATACACTCACCCATGTCTAGTCCACATCCACAGCCATCGCCCTCACCACAGCATCACCACCAGCATCAGCAACAACAACAGCAATCAACTGCCTCCAACACGACGACTACGCTGAATTTACAGGGTATTAATCTCTTGCAAGGCGCCATAGCTAATTTTCCTGGACTGCAGAATGTGCAAGTGCAAATACCGGGCTTGGCTCAGCCGCTTTCGTTGCAGCTGCAGGCCGCTGTGCAACAGCAGCATGGCCAATCACAACAACAGCAGCAGGCGCAATCTAACGCTGCCACTGTCTCGTGCGTGCTTAGCGGCGGCGGTGGTGCGGGTGGTGCTACAGTAAGTAACAGCAATGCTGCGGCCGGTGTGGTCGGTAGCAGTGGCGTAGTTGGTCAACAGCCACATTTGCAACAACGTAGTTTATTGGTATCAGTTCCTGTCTCAACACACAGCCAACAGCAGCAACACCAGTCGTCGCAACAGCATACAATAACGCTGCAAGCGGCAACGGGGACGCAGCAAACCCAAAATCATGTGCAACATGTACCACCAACAGGTACGATTGTGAATCTACCTAGTGGCGGTACGGCGACCACTGCCGGTACACAAACTGTGATGCTAACGAATACCGGCGCGGGTGGTGCTGGAACCGGTGGTGCTGGTGTCGGCAATGCAGGAAATGCAGCAGGCGGTGGCGGTGCTACAGCAACAATGCTAACATTGCCAATTGGTAAGTTGAACATTTTATATACTATGAGACTTAATGCTTAAGTAGTTTTTTAGAAATATTGATATCTTTGGAATGGGTTTGAAAAAGTAAAATTTTTTTTTAGAAGATTGCATTTGTGGCATGTTTTATTAGGTCTTCCAATCGGGATTTAAAACGTATTATGTTTGCTTTCACGATTTTTCTGCGAGGAAGAACTTCTAAAATCTAAACTACTGATATCGCTCAATATTGTTGAGTTACGGCGGCACATTTGCTCCGCCGGACCCAAAGAAACAACCCAACGCCGAGCCACCACAAGGCTGCAAAGCATCTGTCTTATTTTCACATGAGCTAAAGTTCAGGGAAAAGCCAAATCCAAATCCACTGTTTCAGACGGACAAGCATTGAGATGCAAAATACTTGGTCCGACCAAATTAGAAAATCTAACTGAGCTTTCTTTTCAAGTTCAGTAATTTTCGTGCAAACTGACCTCCGCCACACCACCGCAGTATTTTTTCGAGATCTAATCTAAGTAGAAGCCCTCGAAGGTATTTAACTTCTACATCTAGAAGCTTGCTTAGTCACCACAAGTAGTTTAACTGATCGTAGGCATCCACGTTAATAACCCTAACATTTTAGAGCTTGCTAGCCCCCAGCGCACATAACTGTAATTGTAAATGAAGTACACAGCCGCAACAAGGTTCTCAACTTGTTGGCAGCGCTAGGGCCGGTTCTAAATTATGCAGCTCATTGTATTTTTCAAAGAGCTTGCTTTAATCGTCTGCACATTGAAGACATAACCTTTATGGTTAACATTGCAATTGGTTGAAAACTTTAAGAAATGAGCCAGCCCTTGCTTTCATCCTAAAATAAGTTAAAATTTATTTTTAAAAATATAATATTTTGTATCATTACTTATATAAATTTATTTCGCCCAAAAACATACAAATATCAACGATAAGCAAACTAAAATTATACTTCAAAAATTTGCATTAAAATTGCCGAAACTACACTAATTCTTTTTTCTTTTTGCATTTCTCATTGCTTCCTAACGAAACAATGCTACCCTCCTTTCCCTGAACACATTACTCAACTCAAACCTCAAAAAAACAATCCTTGCATATCACAAATTGATACATTATTACGTCATTCTGCTGCACATACAATGCTTGCACATCATATAATTTTACTTTATTTTCACACTTTGTTATACAAATTTGAAAATTAGTTTAAACTCAAACTGTACTTAAATATGTAAGCAGAAAGCTATGTTCCCTCCTCTCCGCACCAATTAGCTGCACAAGTGTAACATATGTATTCACACACAATGTTCTTGTATGTAAATGTCGAACAAATTTTGATACTTGTAACTACTTGTTTCAGTAAACAAACCTTGCGAAATCAAATCGCTTCCTCACTCCTTTTTCCACAAATCTTGCCCTGTCCACCCCAAAGCCGCACATGCGACATGTTCCTTACTAACATTTTCATTTAACAGAAAGAGTATGTAGAAATTATCATTTTGCCAAAAAGTGTAGAACAAAAGCAACAACAAATTGTCTAATATTTAATCACATACAAACGTTCGTTCACTCGTTCAACCAGTCAACCAATTCATTTAACCAATAAATCAACAACATCAAAAAAATCAAAGCAACAACCCGCGTACTTCCCCTTTCAATTCCAGCTCAATTTGTTGGTCCCGGTGTACAAAAACTAAATCCTCAAACAATCCGTACCTCAAGTGGTGGTGGTGGTGGTGTTGCAGGTGGCAGCATTGTAATACAACAGCAACAACAGACGCCACAACAGCAGCAGCAGCAGCAAGTGACGCAACAGCATCAGCAACAGGGCCATCAATCGCAACAACAACAACAACAAACTACTACGACAATAAATGTGAGTGGAGTTGCCGCGGGCAGTGGCGGTAGCGGCGGCGGCATTGTCAGTAGTGGTCAACAGACAGCAATTCAATTGGTGGGCACCATACAGCAACGTCCACGCAACATACAAGTTGTCGGTACGAAACAATTGAGCGGCGCACAAAGGCAATTAATTGCGACGCAACGCAATATTGGCAGTTCGACGTTGAAAATCGCCGCGACCCCAATTAATGGTAAGACATGAAATTATTAACTAGAAAGATATGCAAGAGAAATGTTTATGAATCATAAACATGCATACACCTGTGGCCAAAATATGTGCATAATAGAAACACGATATTGGGTTTATTTAATATTTATTATTTTTTATAAAATTATAGCTCAATATCAAAAACCATTTAAGTCAAAATCTCAAAATTCATGGAGAAAGTTACAAAATTCTAAAATCTAAATTTGAAGCTTTTTAATCAGAATTTAAGATTAGTAGTTTGGTATGCAGTTTTATAGTCCGTTTGATTTTTGTATAATAAATTGGAAGTTTGGAGTTGCTAAAATATCACGTTGATTTTTTATAATTTTTATTTACCTGAAGGAGTTAGTCATTTTCTTCCATACAAAGTATGTTCGACAAAAAATTATTAAAAATCAACAAAATATTTACATGGCTTGAGCAATACTTTTATAAAAAAAAGTATAAAAACTAAATAAACAGAAGAAAAGATGTCTAAACTGGTCAACATTTTGTGTTTCTGTTATTTTGTCCATTGGCGTACGTATGTATGTACATTAGGGCGGTCCACAAAAAAGTTTGAAATGTAAAGCTCTCACCCCCTATGAATTTTCTAAATGGAAAAAATAATGACCGCTTTTTTTTTAATATATATGACATATTTAGAACTGCCCCAAAGACCATAAAGTTTTCCATGTATTTTTTATGGGGAAAACACTTTTTCGTAAAAATAGTATAGAGTTCTTGAAAAACAATATTTTTCGATCGGAAAACTTTTTTCTCTTTTGAATAGTTTCAATAATGCATATTTTTGGATTCTTAAAGGACCTAAATAATAGGGGAGAATGGTTCCGTGCGCAGAAGTGGAAAGCATTTGGCTGCCATTCACCTGGGAGTGGCCAGAAGTGATTCTTTTGCGTACGGTTCAAATCGCAGCTCAACGTCCGGATATTTATATCCACGTATCCTCTAAGTAGCAACCAAACACCCGTTTGGGAGCGAGCTAAAGTGAAAAGGTGTAAAACTTCGCATGCCCTGGGTTTGGGTCCCGCCACGTTATAATCCCCCCGAATGAAAAAGTTCAGAAAGCCTCGGATGAGACCCCTTTTTCTGATTACGATCACGGCATATGTATAAAGGACTGTGATTTGAAGTTAGCCATGGAGAAGTAGACACTTTGAACGTACCGAAAGGTGATGTAGATCTACGTAACTTTGATGTCTGCTATGATGATGTTTATACACAACTTTTAAAGCTGAAGGTTAAGAAAGGAGCTGGGCCAGATGGACTGCCGAATTTGTTCTTGAAAAACTGTGCTATCGGCTTCTGTGAACCAATCACACATATCTTTAGTAAATCCCTGCAAACTGGTGTGTTCCCCGCTGTATGGAAGATATCTTATATCAGTCCCATTCACAAATCCGGACTGAAGTCAGACGTATGTAATTACCGACCAATTTGTATCCAATCGTCGCTAGCTAAACTCTTGGAAAAACTGGTATTGCCCTGTATGTCCTTCGCATTCAAGAATATCATAACTACCAGGCAACACGGATTTACATGTGGTAGGTCGACATCCACCAATCTATATCAATACGTCACCTACATTTTGGATAAAATGAATGGCAATAAAGATGTGCACGCAATATACACAGACTTCAGTAAAGCTTTCGACATGGAGGACCACAACATACTACTTGACAAACTTGTTCTGTATGGAGTAAAAGGGAATGCTTTAAAATGGTTTCGATCTTACCTGTGTGAAAGATATCTGCAAGTCAGAGTCAATGGCTATATTTCTAGTAGTTTTGCTTCTACTTCTGGAGCTCCGCAAGGTTCACATCTGGGACCAATTCTGTTTAATATCTTCATAAATGACATTGGTAATGAACTTAAGTCTGAATATCTGCTCTATGCAGATGATTTAAAGATATATAGAAAGATAACCAGTGATGAAGACGTTGATATGCTACAGCATGATGTTGATAAGATCCACGACTGGTGTACAACGAATAAACTCTATTTAAACACGAGAAAATGCGCTGTTATGTCCTACTCCCGTTCGCGTGAACCGCATACACTTGTATACTGGTTGAACGGTCAACAATTACAGGTGGTCACAACCATTAAAGACCTTGGTGTAATCGTTGACAGTGAACTAAGTTTCGCCAGCCACATAAAAAAACATAGCATTACGAGCACACAAAACGTTAGGGTTTATTCTCAGATCTGGCAAAGATTTCCGAAATCCGTACACTCTCATCCGACTGTTTAATGCACTGGTAAAACCAATCATTGAGTACTGCTCTATAGTTTGGTCACCGTTCACAGACCAGCTTGTCAATAGACTGGAAGCTCCTCAGCTCAAATTCTGCAAGTATTTGCCATACTTTTTAAGCTCTTCGGGTGTAACCATGAACACCAATGAAGTCTATAAACATTTCGGAATCAGTAGCCTCATGAGCAGAAGGCAAGTTGCCGACCTGTCCTTCTTCTACAAAGTAATCAATGTTCACATTTGTTCACCTGAAATTCTTGAGCAATTTGGGTTCATCTGCCCCAAAGTGGGCCTCAGAATCAACCGCCAACTCGAAACAACAAGGACGACAAAGAACTACATATTGCACGGGCCTAACAATAGAATCGCAAGACTTGTAAATGAACATTGCTCTACTTTAAATTTCTTTGGAGGAACTCATGCGCTGTTTATGAAAAACGTGAAGGATCAACTACTTCTTACTTGAAACATCATACACAGCTATACGATAGTGCGCTTGTTATACTAGTCTTTTTACATTGAATTGCGTCATTGAATTGTTTAATTGTTCTTGTAATGTAATTATCCTAGAATGTTTAATGTGTTTAATTATTACATTAGTACAAAGCCGATTGGCGTTAAGCGTTAAGCAATAATAAATTAAATTAAATATATAAAAAATTATAGTTATGCACCTTATCCAGACCCCTAATGGGGATGGGGCCTCTGCCCGGCTGGTTGGTGTCCTCGGGGAAAACAAAGGCTGACATCACCGCCATCCAAGAAATGCGATGGACGAGGCAAGGCGAGGTAAGCGCATAGCCTTACGGCGTCTACTACGGTTGCCACGTAAAGGAGCGCAAATACGGTGTTGGATTCGTGGTAGGAGAGAGACTCTGTCGCCGAGTACTGGCGTTCACCCCGGAGGACGAACGTCTAGCCACAATCCGCATCAAAGCGAGATTCTTCAACATCTCGCTAATCTGCGCCAATGCCTCGATGAAAGAGAAGGACGAGGCGTCCAAGGATCTCTTCTATGAGCGCTTTGAGCGTACATAAGAACGCTGCCCTCGACACGATATCAAAAACGTGCTCGGCGATTTTAATGCCAAGGTGGGCAAGGAGAGGATATTTGGCGCTACTGTCGGAAAATTCAACCTCCACGACGAAATGTCCGATAACGGACTGAGGCTGATCGACTTCGCCGGGGCCCGAAACATGGTAATATGTAGTACTAGGTTCCAGCATAAGAAGATCCACCAAGCTACATGGCTGTCTCCATATCGAACAATCGGAAACCAAATCGACCATTTTGTGATAGACGGAAGGCATGCTTCCAGCGTTATAGACGTACGTACACTCCGAGGGCCAAACATCGACTACTATCTTTTTGCGGCCAAGATACGCACCCGCCTATGTGCATACAAAAATGTGCGCCCAACAATGCAAAGAAAGCTTAACGTCGAAAAGCTGCAATCACAACAGACGGCCAATTTATTCGCCATTTGGCTCACACACCTGCTCTCTGAGAGCCCTCGTCAACAAACCGACATATGGGAGCAGTGAAACCACATTTCCCGCTCATTAAGTACCACCGCCGAAGAAGTAGTCGGATTTCAGCGAGCCTGAAAGAACAACTGGTACGATGAGGAGTGTCAGTAAGCTGCAGAGAAAAAAGATGCCGTCCACAGGGCCACGCTGCGATCTTGCGCAACGCCTGCTATGTGAGGCGCTATAAGGATCTGAAGAGGGAAGCTGCAATAAGAGAGAGGCCGAAATACGTGAGTGCGAAGAGCTTAAAATGCTGACCGGCAGGAAGAATTCCCGAAAATTTTACCAGAGAGTTAGGCGACTTACGGAAGGTTTCAAGACCAGGGCGAACTCCTGTAAGAACAACCATGGTGACCTAGAAACCGATGTCCAGAACGCATTTAAATTATGGAGCGAGCACTTTTCCACCGTATTGAATGGCAGCAGCACTGAACGTAGTGGAGCAGACGAACCCGAGCCCGATGTCCGATGAAGATGGAGTCGATGTCCCACAGCCTGACTAGGACGAGTTACGAGTAGCGATAGCTGAAAAACTACAGAGTTGTTGGAGCTGACAGCCTGCCAGCAGAGCTATTCTAGTGCGGCGGCAAGGAAGGTTATAGGTCTTATCAAGTGTATTGTGTGAAAGATTGGACCTTATCAGTGGACAAAACGAAGTATCTCCTGTCATCACACAAACAGCCAGAGCATACGCGTCACTATTGACAGTTGAAAGTTTGAAAAAGGCGACGACTTCGTTTATTTGGGAACCATCATTAACACCAATAATAATGTCAGCCTTGAGATCCAACGGAGAATCACTCTCGTCAACAAGTGCTACTTTGGACTGAGTAGGCAATTGAGAAGTAATGTCCTCCCTCGTCGTACAAAGATCACACCCTATAAGTCACTCATCATGCCTGTGCTGGTGTATGGCGCGGACGTATGGACAATGAAAACATCTGATGAAGCGGCTCTTGGAGTTTTCGAGAGAAAGACTCTGCGAAAGATTTATTTATTTTTTTATTTTTTTCAGTCGATTTAACGATGAGCTGTATGAGCTTTATAACGATATAGGATATAGACATAGTGCAGTGAATTAAAATTCAACGGCTCCGCTGGCTTGACCATGTCGTTCGACAGAAAACCGCTCCTGCTCGGAAACTGTTCAACGCGGGCCGCGATGCTGGTAACAGTAAGAGCTAGGCCTCTGCGTG